GCCATACATCAGGCTGTTGGTGGATATATATTCGATACACCCTTAGTAAGATCAAAATCCCATGATGGAATACAAAATTGGAGAGATAAAATAAAGGTTGTAGCTGAATCATTTTTAGACAATGGCGCCAATGTTTCAGCCATGGATAATGAAGGTAACACTTGTTTTCACTTAGCGGCTGAGTTGGGCGACGTGGATGTCTTGGAGTTGTTTGTAGCCCACAAAGCTGACGTCAATGTCCAGAACGTAAAAGGTGAGACGCCGTTTATGATGGCGTGTCGTCGTGGTAATGTTGAGGCTGTCAGGTACCTTCTCTCTGTTGGAGCTGATGTGACGTTGGTGGATGTAAACAAGGATACAGCCTTGCACCAAACGACTCTTAAAGCAAAAGAAATGTGGCGCAATAAGAACGTGTTTTTAGAAATGCTACCATGTACTATTACACATTTAATAGAAAACAATGCAAACATCAACTCCCGTAATGGACAAGGTAACACAGCCTTACATTTGACTGTAAAGTTAAATCTCGAGAATTCCATAAGTGTTTTGATAAAACATGGGGCAAATGTAAACGATGTAAACAACGAAGGAAACACACCACTTTTCCTTATGACCAATGATAAATTATATCATTACTTGGTTGATGAGAGAACTGACATAAACTTACAAAATAAATTAGGAGAAACAGCATTACATCACGCCTTTAATGACAATATTGCACTTGCGTTTTTAGAAATGACAGCTGATATGTAGATTCTTACAGATGAGGGGCGGTCAGCTCTGATGAATGCCATAGCAGCTGGTAAATATTCATTGGCTCAATTTTTAGTAGAACATGGTGCTAGTGTAAACGTGCAAGATAGTAATGGAAAAAATGCTTTGATGCTTGCCATTGAGAATTATGCCCACAACAGAATGAGTTATGGATTGTATAACACTGATTTTGTAAATATACTTTTAGAACATGGAGCAGATGTGAATGCAAGTGATGCCACAGGCCAGACCGCTTGTATGTTAGCCGTACACAAAGATTGCACCGATTATTTTTTAGAAGTTTTATCCAAACTCGTAGCATATGGGGCTGATTTGAATAAAGTGGACAATAAAAATAGATCTGTTCTCGTTCACATTTTATTAAACTTTAATACAAACAAATTGAATTGTATTTCAGAAATACTAAAACTAGGCGCAGATTTATCAGTTGATAATGAGTACCAATATTTAGTCAAAGAAATAAGTAAAGAAATTGTAATCCAGAAAGAATACGAGAGAACATTCAGTGACTTGTCACAACGATTGTTTCAGTTTTGTCTTGTGAATGGATGCATTTTATCAAAGGAATTTAACCTCTGGGGAATAAATCAAGCCCTACAATTTCCTCACTTTATGTGTTTTAACGGTTTAGTATTTATCAAATATCTTTTCGCCACTGGAATAATATTAAAGTCTGATCTACAATGGTTTCGGAAGTTTAAAGAAGACAACTTAGTCAACGCCATAACGCTGAATATTCCACCTGAATTACAATCAGCAATCCAACAACCCTGGCCACTGGTCAAACTAGCTTTTATTGAAGTCTCCACCTTACTTGGGACTGGACCTATGAGAGAAGAAAAACTAAAACAGACCAAACTCCCACCAAGATTACAGCGAACGTTGATGTTTCAAGAACCAATATCAAGATTACCTGTAGAAGACTGGTCTAAAATACCTCTTTGTTTTGACCCAGTACAGTACGAGACTTTACCCTGTCCTAGACCTTTACTCTACTACTGGCCTGTTGGGCATAGGCTGGTTATTTAAATAAATAAATGTTTGAAAATAGACAACAAAGTTACTTTTAAAACACATAAAAAAATGCAATTTCCATTTGTATTGAACATATTGTATGGTTTTGAAATGATTTTAATATTAATGGCAGTGCATATAAGCGATTTCTATCATCGTAACTACGAAAATCATATCCCTTTTATGTCTAGGATACATGGTGCAGACGAAGAAGAGTTTATTGGCTTCATAGATCTCCGCATATGAATGGATAGTGTATTTAGCACTTTGTCCAGCAACTACGAATATTTGTATTTATAATTGTCACTGTATTTACTTAAATATATATATAGAGAGAGAGACATAACATTCAAGTGAGAAAATATACTCGAATTTTTATGAAAAGTATATTAGTTACTATTATATTGATTTTATTTTAAAACTTATTTCTCGATCATCGCCATATTTTCGCTTTAGTTCTTTAGACAACGGGACTGCTTCATGAAGCTCTATATAAACTTCCCAGTTCTAGGTAGTTTACTCAGCAGTCCACCAAAATAATCCTCTTTTAAAGAAAATTGTTTTTCTTCGGTGCACCTCCACATTTCCCTTGACCTTCCCTGTTTCCTTTTTTTAATGCAGACGTACTGTTAACCGTAACAATGTAAGATATTCCAGAGGCTGCTCCTGCCTAGGTTATTAAACGTCAATTTAAAATCAAATATAATGCATAAAGTTGACTGCTTGTATTCTTAATGTTGTTTTACGATTTGTACCTTAAAACAACTGAAATGTAAATATATAATGCCATTATTATTATTTTAATTTTTTTTATTGATATTATTATCTAATTAACATATGTGTATGTATCTTTATAAATAATAATTGGTCTACTAAATGTTGTACTGTCATCATAATAATTATTTTTTAAAATAAATTTGTAAAAATAAAAAGAATATAATTAATATTGATTTAATTCAATGTTTATTCATTTTTTTTCTGTATCAAAAAGCCTGATGTACCTTGTTGACATTATTGTTATAAGCTGTTGACAGTAAAGTAATATGAATTATAACAATTAAACTACTAGCACTGTGCTGTCCATGTTTTAATATTCGTTTCTCGGGTGTGTTTCAATAAGAAAAAAAATGAACACGGAAGTAAATTAAAATTTCTAAAAAAAAAATTTCGGAATTTTTTATTGAATATAATTATTATGCGCAGCACCAAACTAATTAAAGCCTTACAGACAGACACAGAGACACATTGATAGATAAACACACTGACACAGACATAAACACACATTAAAATTCATCCCCTATTTTACCCATTCTAAAAGAAGGTAAAAAAAAAGATTAAACTTTGTGTGCATTAAAATCTTAGATAAAGGTTTATATGATTGCTCTATTACTTAAGCAATTATAATTTTATTTTTAACATTGAGATAGTTCGCACCTACTTTTAAATTGATTTTACAACAAAGACTTGTGATTGACTTCTTGCACTCTAACACTACACCTTGCAACTATGTCAAGAACGCGAACTAAACATAGCGACGTTAGACGATAATCATTATTTACTTGACGGTTGACCCCAAGACTGGAAAACGGACATTCAGGGTAACCGCTTCATAAAGCTCTTTATAAACTTCCCGGTTCTAGGCAGTTTACTTGGCAGTCTTTTAAGAAATCCTCTTTTAAAGAAAATTCTTTTACTGCTGAACGCCTCCACATTCTCATTTGCCTTCCCTGTTTCTTTTATTTTTCTACAGGCGTACTGTTAACTATGACACTGTAAGATATTCCAGAGGTTGCCCCTGCCTAGGCTATCAAACGCCAATTTAAAATCAAATATAATGCATAAAGTGGGATATTCTATTGATAATGTTGCTCCACATTTTGTACCATAAAAAAAAATAATTCTAACATGTATATAGATAATGTCATTCTTATTATTCTTAATTCATTTTTAATTGATATTATTAGTATCTAATTAACATATGTGTATGTATCTTTATAATTAATATTGGGCATACTAAATGTAATACTGTCATCATAATCAAACTTTATTTTAATGGGCTTATTATTAAAATTAAAAAAAATATAATTAATATTGCCTTCATTTAATAGTTATTGATTTTATTTTTGATGTATCAAAAACCTGGTGTACCTTATTGATATTATTGTTATTAGCTGTTGACGGTCAAATAATATTAATTATAACAATTAAACTACTTACACAGTGCTGTCCATGTTTTAATATTCGTTTCTCGGGTGTGTTTCAATAAGAAAAAAATGAACACGGAAGTAAATTTAAAATTGCTCTATTATAATTCAACGTAACTACGAATATAATCATTTCCTGTTCATGGCTAAGACCCATGGTGCAAAAGAAGTAGAGTTCATCTGCTTCATAGACCTTGGAATATGAATGGATAGTGTAGTTAGCACTATGCCAAGCAACTACGAATATATGTATTCATAATTTTCACTGCATTTACTTATATAAACAAACATAACCAACATTAAAGTGACAAAATATACTTGTATTATAATGAAAGCTATATTACTATTATTTTTATTTTAAAAATTATTTCTCGATCATCGTCATAGTTTCCCTTTTGTGCCTTAGACAAAGAGATCACTTCATAAACCTCTTTATAAACTTACCGGTTCTAGGCACTTTAGTTAGCAGTCCACCAAGATAATCCTCTTTTAAAGAAAATTGTTTTTCTTCAGTGCGCATCCACATTTACCTTGGACATTCCTGTTTCATTTTCTTTCTGCAGGCGTACTGTTAACCGTGACATTGTAATATATTCCAGAGGTTTCTGCTGCCTAGGCTATCAAACGCCAATTTAAAATCAAATATAATGCATAAAGTTGACTGTTTATATTCATAATGTTGCTCTACAAATTTTACCATGAAAAAAAATTCTCACATGTATATAAATTATGCTATTTTTATTATTCTTAATTAATTTTTTATTGATATTATTATCAATTTAACATATGTGTATGTATCTTTATAATAATTATTTGTTAAGCTAAATGTTGTACTGTCTTCAGAATTACACTTTATAGAAATTATTTGTAGATGCAGGCTCAGATATAAATTGTGTAGATACCCATTACCGAACACCGTTTATAAATTCTATTAGGGAAGTAAACTTTGAAACAACACAATTTTTGTTAGAACATGGAACTGATATTTCAAAGGTGGACAAAGACGGTATGACAGCCTTGATGTGGGCAGCTAAAACAAAAAACGGGAATGTCCTTAACCTTCTACTTGACCTTAAGCCCGAGGTCAACTGTGTTGACCTCCAACAGACAACAGCCTTTGCTCAAGCAGTGATCAGCAGTAACGTGCAGATGGTAGCCAATTTGATACAAGCTGGAGCAGATGTTAACGTCGCATCTAACTGCCAAGTAGAATGCAATGCAATTTGTATCTGTAACGATTTTAAACGTTAAAAAGAAATACTAGAAAATTTAAAAAATAAAACTTCTAAAAGTAAAAGTACACCAATATATTTAGCTACATCAACATGTCGAAAAAATAGCAGCAACAGAGGCGTATCCAGGTTTTCGTTGTAGGGGGAGCGAAAAGAGAAAAAAAAAGGCGCCGAATTTTTAACACGTTCTATATACGTGTATTATATATATATATATATATATATATATATATATATATATATATATATATATATATATATATATATATATATATATATATATATATATATATATATATATATATATATATATATAATTACTAGCTGTATGTCATTACTTCGCTATGAAGTAAAATAAATTGAAAGTAGCACTCTGAAGAAATAAGAAAAAACACACAATGTAGGCCGACAAAACAAAAATTGTATCAATCTAAAAAAAAAAAAAAAATATATATATATTTACACACACTACAACCAAAATCAATGAACGTAACAAAATCTGTTTTGTAATTCTTGTAAAAAAAATTTCTTACATAATAATTCCTGGGAAATTATTTAAGCAAGTGGAATAGGGGAAATAATCACTCTCTTAATATAAATATGTATATATCTACAGATTTAATTATAAATGTCAAATAAAATAAACAATTACTTTAGAATATAATGAAATTGTTTAGCGCTATTCGCTTTTACAAAATGTTTTTGTCTATAATCAGAATTTAATATATTGTCATCATAAATGCTAAAGTATTACAGCATAATGAAAGTTTTTAAAATCAGAGTTGGTATAAAACCACGCTTTTCGATAGACTAGAAAAATATTCGGAATAACAGCCTACATTTAACTAAATATCGGTCTTTAGTTCACATATATTTTAATTTAACTACTGCTTCTTTGTGTTCTTTAAAGATCATTTTTTAACATAGTGATAGGTATGGGTTAGATCACTGTATTGATCACACACCTTTTTACTGGTAATTGCAAAAACAATATTCACAGAGTTTTACGTTTAAAAAGCTAATTTTCTGGCGGCATGGTACTTTGGTACATCGTTACGCGTTTTTCTACATGTACTTAACAGATCAGTTGGGGGTGGGTTGGGGGTGTGGGTTCAACTTCATTCACCACTGTCCGTTCACTTTAGGTCAATTATCCCACACAGTGTATACCTAGGTGTGACATTAATGTTGCTCTACACAATTGTGGTGGTGAGGTGTGTGTGTGGGGGGATGGGGGGATAACCAACTCAGAGTAAACATAGCGTCAGTTTTTAGATGACTGTTCTAAACATACATATATATTACACATATATTACACAAATATATATTACAGAAATAGATTTAAATAAGTAGCAGTGGTATTATGACAATAATTTGTTTCTGTATTGTAATTTTTAAAAAATTAATCACAAGATTCAAACTGTATATATACAGTAATTATGTGTGAAGTTTTATTTATAACATTTTCTAATTCAATTATTCGTAAGCAAATACATTGTACAGGTGCCTTAAACTTAACACCCCTCTTGCCAAGTGGTAGGCCTACTACCCGTAGAGGTTTTTTAAACATTGCAATGCATCGTAATGGTTATTTTTAGAATGGCAAACTGATGCAGCTGTTAATACGTGTTGTAAACGTAGACATTACTACACTAGTACAATAATGCTTAATTGTTGCATGAAAAGAAATCTTGTGATTTACATAGATGTGCCGACCAAGAATATTTTTTTAACAAATATCATTGTTTAAAACTTTGAGTTTAAAAAGTTTCCAAAAAGGCGCCACTTTGCTGAAAATGGCCAGAGGGGGAGCGGCTGCTCCCCCTGCTCCCCCCCTGCGTACGCTACTGAGCAGCAACCATATAGTGAAGTTATTATTAGAAGCTGGAGTTTTTTTTAAATCAGTAGATGAATATGGCAGAACATCCTTGTACATCGCAGCTGCTTTGGGAAATTTGAAACGATTACGCCATTTTGGTGCAAAAGTAGATACAATAGACCATGTTGGAAATTCCACATTGTTTATTTTAGTATTTTACAAACACAAAGAGTTAACCAAATATTTGCTTGAATGTGAAGCCGATGTAAACTTGATATGTGATTCTCTATGCTCGCCTTTATTTGTTGCTGTTTTGTATAACGACACGGAGCTTGAAAAGTTGTTGATTCAACATGGCGCGGTTGTTGACAAATGCAAAGATTCAGAGCTGGTGGCTGCTCTTGGGTATGAAAATATTGAAATGGCTATAGCCGTACTAGAAATTAGAGCTAATCCTAATCTACGCGATAAGAACAATACACCGGCACTAATGATAGGTATGAAACTTGCAAGTCATATAAATGATTATATTGTTAGTGCACCTTCGAGAACCTTGTCTTATTATGATAAAATAAAAGTATGGGAAAACAAAATCAAGCATTTAACCCAGTCATTTTTGAGAAATGGAGCAAATGTTTCAGCTACTGATGATGAAGGTAACACTTGTTTAGTCTTAGCTGTTTAGATTTGCAAGCAGGGTTTTTTGTGGCTGTTTGTTGCCTACGAAGCTGATGTGAATGTCCAGAACGTAAAAGGTGAGACGCCGTTAATGATGGCGTGTCGTCGTGGTAATGTTGAGGCTGTCAGGTACCTTCTTTCTGTTGGAGCTGATGTTAATGCAAGTAACACACATGGCCAGACTGTCTGTATGATCGCCGTCCTCAACAATCGTTTTGAAATTTTACCTTCACTCAAAAGATCTAATGTTGATCTAAACAAACTAGATAAAGAAAACATCACACAGTCAAACACACGATCCATTACATCACACACCCAACAACATCACACACCTAATAACATGAACCACAAAATCATACACCCAACAACATGAACCACAACATCACACACCTAATAATATGAACCACAACATCACACACCCAACAATACTAGCCACGACATCAAACAGGACAAATGATCTGAGACACAATACCCCAGATAAAATATATACGGACAAATGGTCTCAGGTTGAATGATGTCATGAAAAAAAATATATGGACAAAAGAATACAATGGACACGTACACGTACACCTACACGTACACGAACACGAACACGTACACGTACACGTACACGTACACGCACACGCACACTACCACGCACACGTACACGTACACGTACACATACACTTACACTTACACTTACACAGACTTACACTCATATAAATATATATATATATATATATATATATATATATATATATATATATATATATATATATATATATATATTTATATATATATATATATTTATATATATATATATATAATTAAAGTATAATTCTTCTTAGCAAAAGTGTCTTTAAAATGTTTTTATAGGCCTTTATTTACACTTCCTTAATCAAGTGTGGGTTGTGCTGTGTGAAGTGTTGGTAGTTTAAATAGATTGCCATCGCCATGTTGGCACACTTGTTACGGGAATTCCAAGTTTTACTTTGTACTTCCTAGATTGGATCAGAGATGTTTGAGAGGTAAACTAAATGCCACGGTAAACTAATCGATCAAAAGCATAGCCAATTTACAAATGTGTATATAAATAAATAATGTAAGTATATGTTGAATTTTGTACATATTATTTATATTTTAAATAGAATGGCTGATCAATATGTTACTAGCTACATCAACGAAAGAAGTTCATCTGTGGACTTGTAATAATATACATTTTTACGGACGCCATCTTGCTAGCAGTAGTTGCTGTCAGTTCACGTTTTTAAACATTTATCTAAATGTTTATATATGTTACGGTCAAAGCCCGAAGTACGGCCAAACCCCGGATTGGCCGGCCAATGCGCACATTGGCCGGCTCTTTTGGCCAAAGCCCGAAGAACTTAGCACTAAGAGAGTATTTCGTACATTGGCCGGCCAATGCGCGCACTGGCCGGAACGTACTGGCCAAAGTCCGAAACGCTTAAACTTGACAGCGTTTTTTGTACATTGACCGGCCAATGCGCATTGGCCGGGATGTCCTGGCCAATGTTCTGTCTAGACTAAGTTGTGATCGCGTTTTCATTATTCTGGGTGCGGTTTCATTTTGAGTAACTTATTGTTTAGCTCTTGTTTGTATAGCATTCTATATACAAGACGACATGGATCAAAAGGGCCGTCAGACCATGAGACAGACATAGCAGATGGCTGTCAAAAGAAATTTTTTTTAAATCCATGTTAGTTTCCATATATGGGCTACAACTGTATGGGACAGCCTCCTCTATGATGACGAGGTGAGACAATCATCAAAGAACAAAATCAAAGACAGTCGGCGTCACCGACCACGTGCAACAAGACGAAACGTTCAAAAGACTTTGCGCGTTCCTTGTAAGTTGAATAATAGTGTCCAAGCGTGAGAAACCATATTTCCCCAACAAAAGGGAAATACCAAATGAAGCAGACCCATCTCCGCGCCTTGACTGGACTGCATAATAAATACCGACAGAATTGCATTCCAGATTTCTTTGCACTGCGGATTACTTGACTGTTTAACACTACGTTTGCTTGATTGTGAAGACATGTCTGCCAAAATCGGTAAGTTTTAGATGTTTGATTATTATAATACAGACAGTGATGTTTTTTTTTGTTACTTCAAATCTACCAAGAGAGGCTCTTGATAAAATAGTTACTGGGGAAGATCTTGAGAACATTGAACAAGAAATGGATGTTGCCATAAATGCAACGACATCTGCTGCCGTTCCAATAATGCGTGACAATAATGTGGCCAACAGATTATGTATAGTTTGTGAAAAACATTGTAGTGCAGCTCATTCTTGTGTATCCTGTGTCTATGATGTCCATGTTATTTGTGGAATACCCAATGAAGCAGACGAAGGGTACGGAGGGAACATTACCTGCAGATTGTGTCATACTAGCTTGCAAACTCAAGGTGCTAAGATGCTTAAAACATCAAATACAAAATTTAAAGATGCTGAAGTGGGTGACAATGTACGCATCCGTGTTCCAAATGTTGAAAGAGGTCGCGGTGATCCCCGAAGCGTGATTGCAGTTGTCATGAGCGTCGAGGGCGGTTTCTACAAATTAGGAACGGAACATGGTGTTCTAAAACAACTATATGCTAGAAGTGAGCTTTCAATTCTTCACGAAAAACTGCTCTTATTGTCGTCAGTTGGCACTGAGGAAAAATCACTACGAACCATCGCATCTTCACAATCATTGACTGGGGGGCCAAGGCTACACTCGCGCAATTGCAAAACCAAGTACGCAACAAATCGCTGCAAGTGTAAAAATAACAACCTACTATGTAATTCTAAATGCCATAAAAGTTCAACTTGTTGTAACAAATGATAATATTGATTGATTTAGACTATGACTAGTACAATAAAAAATTTGAATGCTTCTGTCATTTATTTTAATTAATAATCAATAAAGACTTAATTTTATGATCCTTACGGCATTAAAAAAAAATTTGCTGATGATCGACTAATTCGGACTTTGGCCGGTCGTCCCTAGCCAGATGATCTTCTAATTAAGACTTTGGCCGGTCCAACATGGCCAGTCCGCGGACTGGCCATGTTGGACCGGCCAAAGGCAAAAATCAAGAGCTATTTCAGACTTTGGCTGGTCCACGATGGCCAATCCGCGGATTGGCCGGCCAAAAGCCGAAATCAATCAAAGTTTCAGACTTTGACCGGTCAATGGGAGGCGATTTTGGCCAATGCGCGCATTGGCCGATTTCGGGCTTTGACCGTAACATATATATCGATATATATATATATATTTCTGTATATCATAGTTATATATATTTCTATATATCATATATATATATATATATATATATATATATATATATATATATATATATATATATATAGCTATAGCCCAGAAGTGTTTGGTGGGTTACAAACATCCACGATGGACAAATGCCTGAAAGATTGGTTGCACGTAGGTTCATCGGTTTATCACATGCACACGGGGGGGGGGGGGGGAAGACTTGTGGACGCGTGTGTACTGGGGGGGGGGGTAAGGGCGGGTTCGGTTCAATGTGGACGACCACATGTGGAATTAAACCACGAAATACTTAAGTTTGATAAAAAATATACTTAAAAATGAATAGAAAATTTGCAGTTTTCGTGGTAAATGTATCAGTAACGTAGTTGTTTACCACTCGCCTAGAAAAAAATGCGTTTTTTTTACAAGCGGGAAGGTATGGGGCAGTAACCACGGCAATTTTCGAAAATAATTCATGGTATTTCTATTGTCATTCGAATTGCTTTTTTTTTAATCAAGCTTAAATTAAATATTTTAAATATTTTTTTTATTACAGAGTTACTGCATGTATGCTTATATGCAAACATGTCTAACTGGACAAATGTAACCGCAGAAGACATTTTTATTGCTGCTAAAATGGGGAATATTGAAAGCTTGGACCCTGCTTCAATTAATTGCATAAATAGAAATGGCATGACTGCTCTTATGTTAGCTGCTAAAGACAACAATTTGCAGGCATTAAAATGGCTTCTAAAAGCGGGTGCTGACCCTAATGTACATGAGCCTATAAAATGTGTATGTTCCTGCGAAAGAGGACAAAAGAGGACAGCGCTAACCATAGCTATGTACAAACACAATAAAGAATGTGTAGAAGTACTGATCAGAGCTGGATGTTTCTTTGATTGTGATCGAGGATTGGATGCTATAAAGATGGCAAAAGATTATCAATTCATGGCTGCTATTGCCGAAGGAGAGAAAGTGATGAAACAATATCTTAATGACTCGAATCAATCGGGGACCGCATTTTATGTCGCTTTTATTAATAGACGTATTGATTTGCTCAAAGATTTAATAGACGTGGGGGTGTCTTTTAATTTCAAATCATTAACTCGTGAGGATGTAACGAATAAGGAAGCTCTGATTAACATGCTACCACTTTCAGCTCTAAATAATCCTAGGGGAAAAGTTGGAAATTTAGAGAAACTGCTTACACGGGCCGTACAATTGCAAAAGAAATCGATTGTAAAAATTATGATAAAAAAATACTCTGATCTTGATATTGTAGATTTCTCAAAAAATAAAGCTCTTCAAGTCGCTTGTAGTGGTGATAGAGTTGAGTTAATAAATGCACTGTTGGTTGGGGCTAAAATGGAAGCAGTTAGTTGCTCTCACATAGAAATCGTTCAACTGCTGGTATCATCCGGCTCGGATGTAAACTGTATTGATGAAGACGGCAGTACATTACTTATAAAAGCTTGTCAATCCAGCCAAATTAAGACTGTCACCTTTCTTTTACATAATAAAGTAAATATTGACCAAGCAGATGATTCTCAGAGTACAGCTCTTCTTTATGCCTGCAGGTCAAATAATCTGGAAATAGTAAAATTACTTGTGAATGCAGGTGCCAAAGTAGAGGACTCTAATAATAAAGGCTTGACACCTTTCTCCGAGGCATGCAATGTATCAAATATAGACATGATGAAGCTTCTTATCAATGCAGGCTCGGATATAAATTGTGTAAATACTTATCAACGAACGCCTCTCATAAACTCTATTATTGGTGAAGGATATTGCTACGAATTTCACAGAAATTCTATTGTAGAACGTAACCTTGCCACCACACAATTTTTGCTAGAACACGGAGCTGATATTTCAAAGGTGGACATAGACGGTATGACAGCCTTGATGTGGGCAGCTAAAACAAATAACGAAAAAGTCTTTGATCTTTTGCTTGACCTTAAGCCTGAGATCAACTGTGTTGATCTAACACAGAAGACAGCATTAGTTTATGCGGTGATGAACAGTAACGTACAGATGGTAGCCAAGTTGATACAAGCTGGAGCTGATGTTAACATCAATTTCAGTCATCAAGTAAACTGTTATAAAATATGTAAAAAACCAAATACGTTTTTAGAGAAAATGCAAGATATTTTAAGAAGATATTCAAATGAAAAAACTACACCACTACATTTAGCTGGAATGAACAGCAGTAATGAATTAGTGACCTTACTGTTAACTTGTGGAGCTAATATTCATGCAGTTGATGAACACGGCAGAACACCTTTACATATTGTAACCATTGCAGGTAGTTTGGTGATCATGCAATCATTATGTCAGTTTGGTGCGAATATAAATGCTTTGGACAATTACGGAAATTCCCCATTTTTTACTGCTTTGCTATTCGAAAACAAAGAAGTATCTAAATATTTGCTAGAGTGTGGAGCTGTTGTAAACGTGATATGCGAGTCTCTATGGACCCCAACAATCGTTGCTGTTTTAAGTATTGACTCAGAGCTTTTACATTTGTTGATTCAACATGGTGCGATTTTCGACATGGGCAAGTATTCCGAGCTAATGATTGCTCTTGAACATAGAAATGTTGAGATGTCGATAGCTTTATTAAAACACGGAGCTGACGCCAATGTGCGAGACACTAAAAAGACACCAGCACTCAAGATAGCCATAAAACAGGCTATTGGTGGTTATATATTCGATACGCCCGTAGAAAGATCAATATCCAATGATGGAATACAAAATTGGAGAGATAAAATAAAGCTTGTATCTGAATCATTTTTAAACAATGGCGCCAATGTTTCAGTCACTGATAATGAAGGTAACACTTGTCTACACATAGCGGCTGAGTTAGGCGACGTGAATGTCTTGGAGTTATTTGTTGCCCAAAAAGCTGACGTCAATGTTCAGAACGTAAAAGGTGAGACGCCGTTAATGATAGCGTGTAGTCGTGGTAATATTAAGGCTATCAGGTACTTTCTCACTGTTGGAGCTGATGTAACGATGGTGGATGTAAACAAGGATACAGCCTTGCACCACACGACTCTTAAAGCAAAAGAAATGTGGCGCTATCAGAATGTGATTTTAGAAATGCTACCATGCACTATAACAAATTTAATAGCAAACAATGCAAACATCCACGCCCGTAATGGACAAGGAAACACAGCCTTACATTTGGCTGTAAAGTTCGATCTCGAATATTCCATAAAGGTTTTGATAGAACATGGGGCAAATATAAACGATCAAAACAACGAAGGAAACACACCAGTTTTCCTTATGACCAACGATAAATTAATTCATTTCTTGGTTGATGCTAGAACTGACATAAACTTACAAAATAAATTAGGTGAAACAGTTTTACATCACGCCTTTAATGTGAATGCTGGTCGTGTCTTATTAGAAATGGGAGCAGATATGGAGATTTGCGCACACAATGGACGGACAGCACTCATGTATGCCACAGCTGCAGGTAAATTTTCATTGGCTCAATTTTTAGTAGAACACGGTGGTAATGTAAACGTGAAAGATAATGAACGAAAAACTGCTTTGATGCTTGCCATTGAGAATTATACTCCTAACATAATGAGATATGGATTGTATGACTCTAATATTTTAAAGAATCTTTTAGAACATGGAGCAGATGTAAATGCAATCGATGCCACAGGTCAGACCGCTTGTATGATAGCCGTAAACGAACAATCCACCGACTATGTTTTGGAAGTTTTACCCAAACTTGTAGCATATGGGGCTGATTTGAATAAGGTGGACAATAAAAACAAAACTGTTTTAATCCATATTTTATTAAAGTTTAATACGAACCAGTTGAAATGTATTTCAAAAATACTAAAACTAGGCGCAGATTTAGCTGTTGATAATGAGTACCGATATTTAGTCAAAGAAATGAGTAAAGAAATTAAAACATCCCAAAAATACGGGAGAACGACCAGTGACTTGTCACAACGATTGTTTCAGTTTTGTCTTGTAAATGGATGCATTTTATTGAAGGCATTTAACCTGTGGGGAATAGATAAAGCACTACAACTTCCTCACTTCATATCTTTTAACAGTTTAGTATTTGTCAAATACCTTTTCGCCACTGGAATGATATTCAAGTCTGACTTACAAATGTTAAAAAAATTTGAAGAAAACGTCTTGGTCAACGCCACAACGCTAAATATTCCACCTGAATTACAATCAGCAATGCACCAACCCTGGCCACTGGTCAAACTAGCTTTTATTGAAGTCTCCACCTTACTTGGGACTGGACCTATGAGAGAAGAAAAACTAAAACAGACCAAACTCCCACCAAGATTACAGCGAACGTTGATGTTTCAAGAACCAATATCAAGATTACCTGTAGAAGACTGGTCTAAAATACCTCTTTGTTTCGACCCAGTACAGTACGAGACTTTACCCTGTCCTAGGCCTTTACTCTACTACTGGCCTGTTGGTCATAGGCTCGTTATTTAAGTAGCTACATCTTTGAAAATAGACGACAAAGCTACTTCTAAAACACATAAAAATGCAATATCGATTTGTATTGGACATATCGTATTATTTTGAAATGCTTTTATTGTCACTGGAAGTGCATATACGCGGTTTTCTATCACGGTAACAACGAATATCTTCAACATTTCACGTTTATGCCTAGAACACACGGGTAAGACGTAGAAGAGTTCATCGGTTTCATAGCCCTCATCAACTACGTTATATGTATTCATAATTGTAATTATATTTACTTATATATATTCAGAAAAACTAACATTCAAGCGACAAAATATACCAGTAGTATCATGAACATGTTATATTAGTTACTATTATTTTGATTTTGATTTTAAAAATTAATTTTCGATCATCGCCATATTTTCGCTTTAGTGCCTTAGATAAACCTCTTAAAAATGCTTTACTGCAGTGCATCTCCACATTTCCCTTGGCATTCAATGTTTCTTTTTCTTCGGACACGTGTATCGTTAACCATGACACTGTAAGATATTCCAAATGTTGCTCCTGCCTTGGCTATCAAACGCCAATTTAAAATCAAATATAATGTATAAAGTTGACTGTTCTATTCATAATCTTGCTCTACAAATTGTAACATAAACAAATTTCTAACATATATAAAGATGATGCCATTGTTATTATGTTTTTATTGATATTATTATTATCTAATTAACTTATGTGTATGTATCTTTATAATTAATAATTGGTCTACTAAATGTTGTACTGTCATCATAGTTAAAAAAAAAGTAAAGTTTCCATTTCAATCCTGACGGTTTATGGGGCAAGTGAAGTAGAGTTTACTTGTTTCTGTGACCTCGGCATATGAAGAGATAGTGTGGTCAGCACTATGCCCAGCCGCCTTTTCTTTCCCTAACGTAAGGGACGGTCTACTGACTTGAACCCGGATTCGAACTCGAGACTAACGGGTTAGCAGTCCAACTCTACCGCTAGACCACTGCGTCCCATACTGTCATCATAAAAATACTTTATTTTTTAATACATTTTTAAAAATAATTTTTTTAAAATTAATATTGCCTTAATTCAATATATTTATTTTGCTGTATTAAAACCCAGGTGCACCTTGTTGACATTACTGTTAAAAGCTGTTGACAGTCAAGAAATATGAATTATAACAATTAAACTACTACAGGGTTTAATGTTCGTTTCTCGGGTGTGTTTCAATAAGAAACAAATAAACGCGGAAGTAAATTTCGGAAAATTCGGAATATTTTATTGAATATAAATAATATGCGCAGCACCAAACTAATTAAAGCCTTACAGACAGACACAGAGACACTTTGATAAATAAACACACTGACACAGGCATAAACACACATTAAAATTCATCCCCTATTTTACCCACTCTAAAAGAAGATAAAAAAAGATAAAACTTTGTGTGCATTAAAATCTAAGATAAAGGTTTATATGATACTCTATTTCTTTAGCAATTATAATTTTATTTTTAACAGTGAAGATAGTACGCTCCTACTTTTGAATTGATTATTCAACAAAAACTTGGGATCGACTTTATGCACTGTAACACAACACCTTGCAACTATGATAAGAACGCGAATTAAACATAGCGACATTAGACGATAATTTTTGTTTGCCCGACGGCTAACTCCGAGACTGGAAAACGGACTTTCAAGGTAACCGCATCATAAACCTCTTTATAAACTTCCCGGTTCTAGGCAGTTTACTTGGCCGTCACCAAAAAAAATCCTCTTTTAAAGAAAATTGTTTTTCTGCTGAACGCCTGCACATTCTCATTTGCCTTCCCTGTTTCTTTTATTTTTCTGCACGCGTACTCTTAACTATGACACTGTAAGATATTCCAGAGGTTGCTCCTGCCTAGGCTATCAAACGCCAATTTAAAATCAAATATATTGCATAAAGTTGGATGCTCTATTGATAATGTTGCTCCACAATTTGTACCATGAAAAAACAGTTCTAACATGTATATAGATAATGTCATTCTTATTATTCTTAATTCATTTTTAATTGAGATTATTATCATCTAATTAACATATGTGTATGTATCTTTATAATTAATATTTGGCATACTAAATGTAATACTGTCATCATAATCAAACTTTATTTTAATGGGCTTATTATTAAAAATAAAAAAAATATAATTAATATTGCCTTCATTTAATAGTTATTGATTTTATTTTTGATGTATCAAAAACCTGGTGTACCTTATTGATATTATTGTTATTAGCTGTCAACAGTCATGTAATAATAATTATAACAATTAAACTACTAGCACTATGCTGTCCAGGGTTAAATGTTCGTTTCACGGGTGCGTTTCAATAAGAAGCAAATGAACACGGAAGTAAATTTAAATTTCTAAAACAAAAATCGGAAAAAAAAATTAAAGACTTTTAGACTGACACAGGGACACATTGAAAAATAAACACACTGACATAGATACAAGCACACATAAAAATTCATCCCCTATTTTACTCACTCTAATAGAAGGTAAAAAAAGATTAAACTTTGTGTGCATTCAAATCTTAGATAAAGGTTTTCGTGATTTGCTCTATTACTTTAGCAATTATAATATTATTTTTAACAGCGAAACAGTTCGCTCCTACTTTTGAACTGATTATACAACAAAAACTTGGGAATGACTTTATGCATTGTAACACAACACCTTGCAAACCTGACAGGAACGCGAACTAAACATATTCTCTTCAAATCGGAATGATTTTTTTGTTAGAAGTAGCCCTTATAAATAACTATTCTAGCATCTTTTTAAAAAGATGATTAATTTAAAATTTCTGACTACTACTATTCCGCACTATTATACGTGTATTGTTGTGTTCATTTGATACTCACTAGTTTTTAGTCATGCAACCCTATTGTATTACGTGTTTTAAAGTGTTGAAGAAATTGCATAAAACGTTTTAATAACAAGCTTTTATGTAATAATGCACTAAAAAGAATTATTGCCTGTCTTACGCCAGGCTTAAATATGGCATGTTTTCTGGCCTGACTAGATTAAGGTGTCTTAAAAACATTTTTCTTTAGCCTCGGAGCTTATTTGCTTTTTGGTTGTGTTGCCCACTATGTCTCCAGTTTATGCAGTAAAACAATACTTTAGATTTGTCTCAAAAAAGAGTTATGTCTTCAGATCGTAATGTAGAGAAAACTTCAAATTTCAAAAAACTTCAAACTTCAAAAAACATAAATTCCGAGTTCAGTGATTCTGGAAAATGCATTTAAACGCTGCATCGTAGCTGAAGATTTGAAATGTTGTCTGGCCACAGTACATTTAAGATATGTTTTAAAGAATTTTTCTGAAACGCTGAGATTTTGTTTGGGTTGCATGTTATATCTCCAGATTATACAGAAAACACTTTGTGCCAAAGACTCTGTGATTATTTAGCTGTTAGTGACTCTAGCAGTAAAATTATAATTTAATGTACTTTTATTTAGCGGCTGAATTTAAATAATTACTAAATACAATAAACGATAAAACAAATATGAATATTTCATTGAAAATATTGTCAATTAAAAGGCGGAAAAATAAAATAAAAGCAGTGATTTTTGTTTTATTTAGAGTTAATTCGGATCGTCATAAGCAGTGATAAAATTGGATATAAACACTAATTTGTACAATTTAAAAAAAAAATTTAAGCAGAAATTTCATAAAAGTAACATTTCTGAGCACATTTCAAAAATTACGTACACGTACACGTACACGTACACGTACACGTACACGTACACGTACACGTACACGTACACGTACACGTACACGTACACGTACACGTACACGTACACGTACACGTACACGTACACGTACACGTACACGTACACGTACACGTACACGTACACGTACACGTACACGTACACGTACACGTACACGTACACGTACACGTACACGTACACGTACACGTACACGTACACGTACACGTACACGTACACGTACACGTACACGTACACGTACACGTACACGTACACGTACACGTACACGTACACGTACACGTACACGTACACGTACACGTACACGTACACGTACACGTAAATTATCTGTTTAAATATATATATATATATATATATATATATATATATATATATATATATATATATATATATATATATATGTTTATATATATAAATTAATATGTAGGCCTATACATATATATATTTATATGTAGGCCTATATATATATATATATATATATATATATATATATATATATATATATATATATATATATATATATATAAAGTTTTGTATAATAACAGACGTTTTCTTCTTAGCAAGAGGGTCTTCAAGATGTTTAATAGGCCTTCATGTGCACTTCCTTAAACAAGCCTTGTTTTTTCGAACATGGATTTTATTCGCCATGTTTTCATACTTGTTTTCGGACATTCCAAATTTTACTTTATACTTCCTAGAATGGATCTGTGAAGTTTGAGAGCCAGTCGAAACACCAGAGGTAAACTAATCGATCAAGAGCATAACCAATTGACAAAAGTTTTATTTAAAGAAAAAAATGTGAGTATGTTTAAATTTTGTACATATTTAAATTTTTTTATTAGTAGTGCTTATCACTATATTACTTGCTACATGAGCGAAAGCAGGTCATCTGTGTACTTTCAAAAATCTACTATGTTACGGACGCCATCTTACTAGCATTACTTCCTTGTTCACCTTGTTAAACCTGTTTCTAAATGTTCATATATATATATATATATATATATATATATATATATATATATATATATATATATATATATATATATATATATATACAAGCACTTAAATAAGCTGTGTTTGTGCTAAAGTGGATAGAATTCGCTCAGTTGGCATACCTGTTCTGGGAATTCCAGAAATGACTTAAAACTTCCTTGTATGCATTTACGATGTTGGAAAGGCAACCTAAACGCCCATCGTAAACCAAAAGTTCTAAGACTAAACAATTTCCAAATACTGTATTAAAGTAAGTATTGGGTGAATTTTAACGTAATTTATTTTAAATAGTAGGGCTATTCAATATGTTTCTAGATACTCGAAAAAAAAGCATATCATTTGTTTACGTGGCAAAATCAATAATGCGACGGACGCCATCTTGGTAGCAGCTCCTACCATCATTCTTATCAGTTGACCCATTTAACAAATATCTGTATATCTTCCTCCATTATATATATATATATATATATATATATATATATATATATATATAGCGCAGAGGTGTTTAGTGGGTTAGAAACACTCACAATAGACAAATGTCTGACGTATTGCTTGCACTTAACACTCTGAATTCAGGATGTAGTTTCTATGTTTCTATGTTATACCACGCCAAAAAAAGGCACTATTAAAATATTAAATACTTTAATTTTTTATTAGGTAAGCTTTATCGTGGCTAGATCAAGGAGTTGTGAATCCCCGCCCCCCCCCCCTCCCTATCGACCACCAAAAATGAGTAAAATAAACAAATACATTCTTTATAAAAAACAAGATTTGTAAATGCACTTGAAATAAGACAAACTTGCTTTCTTTAATAAAATAAACCGGGAGTGATCTCCCCTAAACTTTTTCGAATATTTTAGTATAACACTACGTGGGATGGTAACTCGGAATATAGACATGATTTTTGTTTACTTACACTTTGAAAAATAGAATAAAATCTAGTAGAAAAAACAATTGCGCACCCAGCGAACACCAAAACAAAATGTGCACAATAGTGCGCAATATTATTAGTTCTTTACAAATTTACATGGCATGCGCTTTTTGAGAAATCGGAAATAGGCTAAATTAGTACTTCCGGTCAACGGAAATGACTCAAAATTTTATAGAAGGTAGAGAATTAGATTTTTTACTTACATGTGAAAAGTCTTTTTTCTATCTGAAATAGTACTCAAGTTATAGGCTTTTGAAAAATTCAAAATAAAAAAAAAAGTACCACTTCCGTTTATTGGAAATCGCTCAAAAGTTGATACTGATCTACGATTTTGATATAATACTTATATATGAAATTTCATCAACCTAGCTGTAACGGTACTCAAGTTATCGTGTTTACACACTGACACACACAAAGACACACAGACATACGGACAAAATTGCAAAATTATGTTTTTCCGTATCAGTGAGGTGTAAAACGTCGAGATTTGTAAAAATCGCGATTTTTTTTTGCACCATTAAAATACTATCTCTATACTTCGTATATACGAGAAGGTAAAAAGGTAGCTTATTTAAACTATAAATTATTTTAATGTCAAAACGATTGATTAAAGAGAGCATGTTTTTTTGTTAAATTTTGTTAATTTTTACATTTGAAGGCTTTTTATTATAAAATAGTTTATATTTATTTTATTTTATTTTCCACTTGAAATAAAAAAAAGAAAACAAACGCAATTCTTTGAATATTTAAGAACGAATAAGTATTTAAAATACTTTAACATATTTAATACGATAGATTTGCATGACTTAAAACAATTATGCACTAAACACAAAAAAAATTAAACAAGAAATAATCTAATAACAAGCTTTTATGTAACAGTGCAAGAAAAACGAGAAAATGAATAAATTAAGTCAAATTTGACGTGCCAACTTTAAAATAAATCTGTCAGTTAGAAGTGCCCAAAATTCCGTTAGAGCGTTTTAACAGACAGAGCAAACAAGTTAAATGAAAGAATTGTGATATGCATATAATAGAGCTATAAATTGTAAGCCTAAAATTTATAGGAAAATTACTTATATAATACTTAACTAATTAAGTGTCTAAACAAATTTGATTTCAGATTGCATAATCTTGACCTTACGTTCCAAGTTTCAAATAAATTGATCTGTTAGAAGTGGTAGAAATTTCACTTGGCATTTTCAAACCATGACGAATCATGAAAGAAAAAGAAAGCATCAAGAAATGTATGACGAGTATGAGGTAAAAGCAATTTTAACTTTAATTGCCACGATTTAATTAGACTAACGTGCAAATGTTTTCTTTAAGACACTCTTAAATCTAGACCTAAACTTTTTTTGTATGTAGCTGAATTATAGTTAATGTGAAACAGCAAAATATTTTAATCTTTTTTTTAAAAAGAAAACAAAACTTATTCCATTATATATTTTTGCTTGAACATGCAATAACAAGTGATGTTCTTCCAATTTATGTATTACACTAGCTCGATATGTAGTTTTATAATTATTATTGTAGTGAACAAGAGTTTAAAATACAAGGAGGGCTGGATGGACATGGTTAGTTGTGATTAAATGAAAGTAAATAATAATATTAATAATAATAACCTAGTTTTAAAAACTCCTAAGAAAGAAAATAAAAACAAAGATGACAACACAGGTTACATTTTAAAATCTATCTATATATACAAAAAGAAATGAATGTGTGTGTGTGTCTGTGTCTGTGTGGCTTCTATGCATTACTATACCTCTTATCATATCGCCGAGAAACTTTAGGAAGTTGTTGAGAATATTCTTGGGGAGGTTTCTGCGAAAAAAAAATTTCAATTTCGCAGGGGTGGCGCCCCGGCAGGGCGCGATTTGTTTTTTCTCTATATGTGGTATATAAAAATAAAAGTCTATTTTGGTTTGACAGCGTTCACCCGATAGCCATGAGACGTTAGGGAGTTGATTAGAACACTCTAAGGAAGTGTTGTGTAAAAAAATCATTTTTAATTTCGCAAGGGTGGCGCAACGTGAGGGTGCGATTTTTCTCTATGTACGGTATATAAAAATAAAAGTCGATTTTGGTTTGACATCGTTCGTCTAATAGGCATGAAACTTTAAAGAGTTCATTAGAAGGGTTCTGTAAAAAATCAGTTTTAATTTCGCAAAGGCGGCGCCACGAGAGGGTGCGAATTTTCTTTTTATACAGTATATAAAATAATAAAAGTAAATTACAGTGACACCGTTCACACGATCGCCAATAAACTTTGAGAAGATGTTGAAGATGCTCCTGGGGACGTTTCTGCGCAAAAAAACATTTTCAAATTTCCAGGGGTGGCGTCACGGGAGGGTTTGATTTTTCTCTATATACGGTATATAAAAAATAAAAGTCAGATGCGGTTCGACACCTTTCATCAGTGTGTCATGAAACTTTGGGGAGTTGATAAGAATACTCACAAGAAGAATTCTGTGAACAAAATAATGAAAATATGATATGATTGGCGCCTACAAGGGTGTGATTTTCGTCAATAAACAATTTGGCGCCAGAGTTCCAGAGATAGCACGTGTCATCCGCTAATTGTGCGCCCTGCATAGCGGGTAAGGAGTAATACTATACTCAGCGTAAAAACGTCAAGAGGCGCAACCTGCAGACTGCACGACCCGAAGCGCCCCGGACTCCCCTGCGAACACTATGGCGCCTACGTTTATTAAAAAAGGCTATACAATAAAGAAACGATGGGCAACAATAATCATTGACTATATCGAACCAGGCGCGTCACTCGGCGCCCCTGCAGGGCTCAATTTGGCGCCCTGTGCTTTTCCGTGAGCGCAATGGCACCTACGTTTGTTCTAAACAGTGCGATAGATAATGGATAAGATGGGCCGTTACAGTCGCTCACTAAATTGAATAAGGCTTGTCAGCCGGCGTCCTGGTAGGGTGCGATCTGGCTGCAAACAAAAATTTCAGTTTCGGACCGCAGATGCTCACGCGGGCTGCTGAGGGCCCTGTAATTCTTTTTAATAATCAGGAAAATTAACCAAGGTTAGATTATTAACACTGGGTTGTTTCCTATTGTCCGTAAAATATCCAAAGAATTCCAAAACCTACAGTTCTCAAAATAATGTAAATATTTAAGTAAAAAATTAAGTTTGGAAGGGAAAATCATATAAAATAAAAAGTCACACTTCTAAAAATAACTTTGTAACGCGAGTAAATCCGCTGTACAGTTTCGTCACTTTGCGAATGATGCAATTAGCATCTATTTTTAGACGATCCAATCAGAAATTGAGATCGAGCTTTTAATAATATACCATTAGTAAGCTAAAAAATTGCATCAGTCACATTGATGTTTATAACACTTCAAAAAAAAATATACATGTTAAAAAACCCTTTTGATTTGTGTAACTTTAGCGAATGACGCAATCTGCATCATTGTTTCTGGAGACTATGTGGCGCTCTGGGTTATCCTGTTAGCACACTGGCACTTTGTTATTTTTAAAGAGTCATTTTAAAGAGTCAACAGCCTTACGCTGCGCCTCTGCGGAAGTGTTATTGAGGGCTTCCCAAAATAGAAAGTTCACACATTTTCACGTTTGTATTAGTTGAAATAAGGATACAAGAAATATAAAAATATACATTTTGAAAATGAACAACGCGGTTTTAAAAGTTTGTAATGAGTTGAAAAATAAACGTATACACTCGTTTAATAATTATGATTGGTACATTGATTATAAAAAATGCGTGTTATCAAATTAATCAATATTGGCATTTGCAAATAATATTACTGACCATTAACTGTCTGCTCATCGTCTGAATATCAATTGTCTTATCGTCATCTGCCTGACCATCATCTGACCATTAACTGTCTGACCATTAACTGTATGACCATTAACTGTCTGACCATTAACTGTCTGACCATTAACTGTATGACCATTAACTTTCTTACCACTAATTGTCTGTCCTTCATCTAACCATTAACTTTCTTACCACTAACTGTCTGACCTTCATCTAACCATTAACTTTCTTACTATCAGCTGTCTACCATCAGCAGTCCAACCGACGCCCACCAACTTATCATCACAAACTGACGCACCACCTCCAACTAGTATACTATTATAAACTGTCTGTGTATTAACTATACAGACACAATTCGTTTGTAGTGGGCATAATCCTTCTTCTTCGTTCTTAATTGTAATGTTGAACGGGACTAATTTTCCTTCCTAAGTAAGCTTGTAAGTAATAATTGTTAATTTATCCAGAGGCGTAGCGACCCTTCCAGGCGCCCGGGGACAAACTTTCATTTTAGCGCCCCCTCTGGAGCAAATGTTCAATTTACACCCCCCTTAAACTTTCGATTTGCACCCTCCCCCCATCTCAAACTATTTATAATGCAAAAATGCAGCTAAAATGACATTTAAATTTGTTTTTACAACCCATTTTGGGCCCCCCTAAGGTCGGCGCCCGGGGACATATGTACTCCAGTGCCCCCCCCCCCCATCGCTACGCCTCTGAATTAACAGACCAACAAAATCGAAATAACTATATACTGGTTTACGCATAAATGCAATAATTTGTGTTAAAAAATTAAAGAATCCTTTTTAGATCTAACAATCCATTGGGCAGATTAAGCGAAGTTCATATTGTTTCTTTACTTCTGCATATAAATGGATAGTGTGTTCAGCACTATGCCCAGCCGCCTTTACTGTTCCTAACGTGAGTAATGTACCCATCAATGTTGGGTGGACTCAGGGACGTTCCACTAACTTGAACCCGGATTCGAACTCAAAACTAATAGCACAATAGTGTGAAGACAATGGTCAGTGCTATAAAGCATAGCATTAGGACCCTGGTGCGAAGAATATAGTGAATCTTACATGATCTTTATTAAGACATTCATGAGTTTTCTAATATCGGAACAGAAGAAGAGATTAATTTCCTGGTTGACGAACGGCTCTAGCTGCTAGAAAGTTAATAATATTGTGGCTATTATAAAAAAATTGTTCTATCTTATTCTAGAAGATTCTGTCGATCTTATTTAGTCTTGTTCTTAAGTGTGATTACGTCATAAGTGCTAGCCAGCTCACTCGTCTTTTATGAGTCTTTTTGTTTGTGTGTATAACGCATGCGCGTGGCCTAGTGGTAGAGATCACAACTGCTGTCCCAAATGTCTTGAGTTCGAATTCGTGTTCAAGTCATTAGAATTTCCCTCAGTCCACCAAGCTATGATGGGTACCTAACTATTGTTAGGTAAAACAAAAGCGGCTGTACATAGTGCTGACCACACAATTCATTCTTATGCCGGTGTCTCTAAAACAAATTAACTCTACTTAATCTGTCGCATGTGTCTTAGAACGGGAAAGATGATAATGATAACACACAAACTCGGATAAATACCTGATTTTTGTACGTTCTTATAACAGGTCAACTCACTATTTTGCTCATTAGATGAACCAAAAACTTTTCCGCAGTAGGTTCTCGAGTAGCAACCACCTAGCCATGACGAGTTGTTCTCGATGCAGAAGGGCATTTTTAAAAAAATAATCCACACTTTATGTGAGAGTTTTTTCAAATGCAAAAAGGAAAACCTAGCAGAAATAGCAACAATTTTTGTGGTAGCTTGGTCCTCCAAATAATCTGAGTTACACGTTTGTCCAGGATGCAATAATATGTATTGCTGTATAATTCAAAGAATCTACAGTGCATTGTTGCTATTTTATTGTATACGTTTTCACGAAAAAAAAAAACAATAAATTTTGCAAAATATATACTATTCTAACATCTTGAGACTTGTTTAGAATCAGGAAAACAATACGTGGTTTACTGTTATCAAAACTGATTTTTTTTTTCTGTCAAACTTTAACTAATTATTTAAAATATTTTTATTTTATTTTAGCTGTACAGCACTGAAGAAGAGTTTCGTAGCTTTCCACGTTTAGACTTAACTGCAAACATGTCTAACGGCAAGAATGTAACTCCATCAAACATTTTTACTGCTGCTAAATTGGGCAATATTGAAGGCTTGGACACTGCCTCAATTAATTGCAAAACTAGTAGTGGCTTGACTGCGCTTATGGTAGCTGCTGAAGACAAGAATTTGCTGGCATATTCCTTTTATAGAAAACCTGATCTTCGTGTCACAGCACTAACCATTGCTGTGGAAATTCGCGACATAGAATGTGTAGAAGAGCTGATCAGGGCTGGATGTTTCTTTAATTGTGATCGACGATTGGAGGCTTTAGAGATGGCAAAGAATGAACGCTTTAGGGCAGCTGTTGCCGAAGGCGAGAAAGCTATGCAGAAATATCTTAAAGATGACTCGGACCAAAGTGGGACCGCATTTTATGTGGCTTTTATTAATGAACGTATTGATTTGCTATATGAATTAATAGACGCGGGGGTTTCCATCAATTTAAAATCATTAACGGGTGAAAATTTATCGGAAAAGTTAGCTCTGATTAACAATCTTCTTATTTCACCACAAGGGAAGCGTAGTGGAATGGTAAGACATTTAGAGTCACTACTTACACAAGCCGTACAAGTGAAAGATATATCGATTATCAGAATTCTAATTGAAAAATACTCTGATTTTAATATTGTGCATTTCTCCAAAAATAAAGCTCTTCAAATCGCTTGTAGTGGTGATAGAGTTGAGCTAATAAATGTGTTGTTGGTTGGAGCTAAAATGGAAGCAGTTAGTTGCTGTCACATAGAAATCGTTAAACTGCTTGTATCATCCGGCGCGGATGTTAACTTGGTTGACGAAGACGGCAGTAGTTTACTTATAAAAGCTGTTCTGTCAAAACAAATGAAGATTGTCAACTTTCTTATAGAAAAGAAAGTAAATATCGACCAAGCAGATGATTCTCGGAGTACAGCTCTTCATTATGCCTGCAGGTCAAATAATCTGGAAATAGTAAAATTAATTGTGAACGCTGGAGCTAAAGTTGAGGGCTATAATAATGAAAGTTATACACCTTTCTCTGAGGCATGTAAGATATCGCAAATTGACATGATGGAGCTTCTTATCAAGGCAGGCTCGGATATAAATTGTGTAGATAAATATCAAAGAACGCCTCTCATAAACTCTATTAAAGATCACAGCATAATTCTCATTTAGTCTTGTTCTTAAGTGTGATTACGTCATAAGTGCTAGCCAGCTCACTCGTCTTTTATGAGTCTTTTTGTTTGTGTGTATAACGCATGCGCGTGGCCTAGTGGTAGAGATCTCGACTGCTGTCCCAAATGTCTCGAGTTCGAATTCGTGTTCAAGTCATTAGAATTTCCCTCAGTCCACCAAGCCATGATGGGTACCTAACTATTGTTAGGGAAAACAAAAGCGGCTGTACATAGTGCTGACCACACAATTCATTCTTATGCCGGTGTCTCTAAAACAAATTAACTCTACTTAATCTGTCGCATGTGTCTTAGAACGGGAAAGATGATAATGATAACACACAAACTCGGATAAATACCTGATTTTTGTACGTTCTTATAACAGGTCAACTCACTATTTTGCTCATTAGATGAACCAAAAACTTTTCCGCAGTAGGTTCTCGAGTAGCAACCACCTAGCCATGACGAGTTGTTCTCGATGCAGAAGGGCATTTTTAAAAAAATAATCCACACTTTATGTGAGAGTTTTTTCAAATGCAAAATGGAGAACCTAGCAGAAATAGCAACAATTTTTGGGGTGGTTTGGTACTCCAAATAGTGCGAGTTACACGTTTGTGTAGGATGCAATAATATGTATTGCTGTATTGTTCAAAGAATGTTCAGTGCATTGTTGCTATTTTATTGGATACGTTTTCACGAAAAAATACAATAAAATTTGCAAAATATATACTAATCTAACATCGTGAGACTTTTTTAAAATCAGGAAAACTTTACGTGGTTTACTGTTATCAAAACTGATTTATTTTTCTGTCAAACTTTAACTAATTATTTAAAATATTTTTTTTTATTTTAGCTGTACAGCACTGAAGAAGAGTTTCGTAGCTTTCCACATTTAGACTTGACTGCAAACACGTCTAACGGCAAGAATGTAACTCCATCAAACATTTTTACTGCTTCTAAATTGGGGAATATTGAAGGCTGGGACACTGCCTCAATTAATTGCACAAATAGTAGTCGCCTTACTGCGGTTGCTGGCCCTAATTTACATAGATCTCGAGGACGCATACATTCCTTTTATAGAAAACCTGATCTTCGTGTCACAGCACTAACCATTGCAATGGAATTTCGCGACATAGAAAGTGTAAAAAAGCTGATCAGGGCTGGATGTTTCTTTAATTGTGATCGAGGATTGGAGGCTTTAGAGATGGCAAAGAATGAACGCTTTATGGCTGCTGTTGCCGAAGGCGAGAAAGCTATGCAGAAATATCTTAAAGATGCCCGGAGCCAATGGGGAACCGCATTTTATGTGGCTTTTATCAATAAACGCATTGATTTGCTATATGAATTAATAGACGCGGGGGTTTCCATCAATTTAAAATCATTAACGGGTGAAAATTTATCGGAAAAGTTAGCTCTGATTCACAATCTTCTTATTTCACCACAAGGGAAGCGTAGTGGAATGGTAAGACATTTAGAGTCACTACTTACACAAGCCGTACAAGTGAAAGATATATCGATTATTAGAATTCTAATTGAAAAATACTGTGATTTTAATATTGTACATTTCTCCAAAAATAAAGCTCTTCAAGTTGCTTGTAGTGGTGATAGAGTTGAGCTAATAAATGTGTTGTTGGTTGGGGCTAAAATGGAAGCAGTTAGTTGCTCTTACGTAGAAATCGTTGAACTGCTTGTATCATCCGGCGCGGATGTTAACTTGGTTGACGAAGACGGCAGTAGTTTACTTATAAAAGCTGTTCAGTCAAAACAAATGGAAATTGTCAACTTTCTTATAGAAAAGAAAGTAAATATCGACCAAGCAGATGATTCGCAGAGTACAGCTCTTCATTATGCCTGCAGGTCAAATAATCTGGAAATAGTAAAATTACTTGTGAATGCAGGAGCTAAAGTTGAGGGCTATAATAATGAAAGTTCGACTCCTTTCTCTGAGGCATGTAAGATATCCAATATAGACATGATGAAGCTTCTTATCAATGCAGGCTCGGATATAAATTGTGTAGATAAATATCAAAGAACGCCTCTCATAAACTCTATTAAAGATCACAGCATAATTCTCATGCACTCTATTATAGAACGTAATCTTGCCTTCACACAATTTTTGTTAGAACATGGAGCTGATATTTCAAATGTTGACAAAGACGGAATGACAGCCTTGATGTGGGCAGCTAAAACAAACAACGAACAAGTCTTTGATCTTTTGATTGACCTTAAGCCTGAAGTCAATTGTGTTGACCTAAAACAGATGACAGCATTAGCTCATGCGGTGATGAGCCGTAACGTACAGATGGTAGCCAAGTTGATACAAGCTGGAGCTGATGTTAATATCGCCTCTAACTGTCGAGTAGATTTTCTTAAACAATATGAAATAGGTAACAATAAGAATTTAAGCAAATTGCGAAAAATAGTGAAAAGCTGTTCAAGTAGTAAAAACACACCACTTCATTTAGTTGGGGCTATCAAATACGATGGCTTTGATATAATGAAGTTACTGTTAAAATCAGGGGCTAATATTCATGCAGTTGATGAACATGGTAGAACACCTCTACATATTGTAGCTGTTGCGGGGCATTATTATATCGCGGAAGATTTGTATCGACTAGGTGCGAAAATCAATGCTTTGGATAATTACGGAATGTCCCCGTTGTTTATGTCTTTGGTATATGGAAACGAAGAAGTATTTAGTTATTTGCTAAGTTATGGAGCTGATGTAAACTTGATATCTGAGCCTTTAGGCTCGCCTTTATTTGCTGCTGTTTTGAGTAATGACAAACAGCTTATACAACGGTTGATTCATTACGGAGCGATTTTAGATGTGAACATAGATTCAGAGATAATGATTGCTCAGATCCCTCAGAGGACAATAATTTTATTAGAAAATGGAGCAGAAACTAAAAAGGTACCAGCACTAACGACAGGCATAAAACTTGCTCATCGTGAAGAGGGTTATGAATACGCCACACCCATGGGAACCAAAATGAGCTACAGTTTAGAAATTATTTTGAAAAATAATTTAAAGCGTGTAGCTGAATCATTTTTAAACGATGGCGCCAATGTTTCGGCCGCGGACGATGAAGGCAACACTTATCTACACTTAGCGTCTGCGTTTTGTAGCGCGAGTATCTTGGAGCTGTTTGTAGACCACAAACCTGACGTCAATGTCCAGAACGCAAAAGGTGAGACGCCGTTAATGATGGCGTGTCGTCGTGGTAATATTAATGTTGTCAGGTACCTTATTTCACTTGGAGCCGATGTGACGTTGGTGGATGTAAACAAGGATACAGCCTTGCACCACACGACTCTTAAAGCAAAAGAAATGTGTCGTTATAATAACGTGATTTTAGAAATGCTGTCATGTACTATTACACATTTAATAGAAAACAATGCAAATATCCACGCCCGTAATGGACAAGGTAACACAGCCCTACATTTGGCTGCGAAATTCGATCTCGAACATTTGATTAGTGTTTTGATAAAACATGGAGCAAATGTAAATGATCAAAACAACGAAGGAAACACACCACTTTTCCTTATGACCAACGATAAATTAATTCATTTCTTGGTTGATGATAGAACTGACATAAACTTACAAAATAAATTAGGAGAAACAGCTTTACACAACGCCTTTAATGTGGATGTAGCACGAGCATTATTAGAAATAGGAGCAGATATGAACATTCGTACACACAATGGACGGACAGCGCTATTGTGTGCCACATTTACGGGTAAATTCCCACTGGCTCAATTTTTAGTAGAACACGGTGTTAATGTAAACGTACAAGATAATGAAGGAAAAAATGCTTTGATACTTGCCATTGAGTATGATGTCCACAACAGAAAGAGTTATGGATTGTATAGCACTGATTTTTTAAATATACTTTTAGAACATGGAGCAGATGTGAATGCAAGGGATGCCACAGGCCAGACCGCTTGTATGATAGCCGTAAAGAAAAATAGCACGGGCGTTTTTTTGCAAGTTTTACCCAAACTTGTAGCATATGGGGCTGATTTGAATAAGGTGGACAGTAAAAACAGAACTGTTTTAATTCATATTTTATTAAAGTTTAATACAAACAAACTGTACTATATTTCACAAATACTAAAACTAGGCGCAGATATGGCAGTTGATAATGAGTACCAATATTTAGTCAAAGAAATGAGTAAAGAAATTGAAACACACAAAGAATACGGGAGAACAACCAGTGACTTGTCACAACGAATGTTTCAGTTTTATCTTGTAAATGGATGCATTTTATTGAAGGCATTTAACCTCTGGGGAATAGATAAAGCCCTACGACTTCCTCACTTTATGTCTTTTAACAGTTTAGTATTTGTCAAATATCTTTTTGCCAACGGAATGATATTCAAGTCTGATCTACAAATGATGCGAAAATTTGAAGAAAACGTCTCGGTCAACGCCACAAAGCAAAATATTCCACCCGAATTCCAATCAGCAATCCAACAACCCTGGCCACTGGTCAAACTAGCTTTTATTGAAGTCTCCACCTTACTTGGGACTGGGCCTATGAGAGAAGAAAAACTAAAACAGACCAAACTCCCACCAAGATTACAGCGAACGTTGATGTTTCAAGAACCAATATCAAGATTACCTGTAGAAGACTGGTCTAAAATACCTCTTTGTTTTGACACAGTTCAGTACGAGACTTTACCCTGTCCTAGACCTTTACTCTACTACTGGCCTGTTGGGCATAGGCTGGTTATTTAAGTAGCTACATCTTTGAAAATAAACGACAAAGCTACTTCTAAAACACATAAAATGCAATATCGATTTGTATTGGACATATCGTATTATTTCGAAATGCTTTTATTGGCACTGGAAGTGCATATACGCGGTTTTCTATCACGGTAACAACGAATATCTTCAACATTTCCCGTTCATGCCTAGAACACACGGGTAAGACGTAGAAGAGTTCATCGGTTTCATAGCCCTCAGCAACTACGAATATATGTCTTCATAATTGTCATTATATTTACTTATATATATTCAGACAACTAACATTCAAGCGACAAAATATACCAGTAGTATCATGAACATGTTATGTTAGTTACTATTATTTTGATTTTGATTTTAAAAATTAATTTTCGATCATCGCCATATTTTCGCTTTAGTGCCTTAGATAAACCTCTTAAAAATGCTTTACTGCAGTGCATCTCCACATTTCCCTTGGCCTTCACTGTTTCCTTTTCTTCCGAGAAGTGTATCGTTAACCATGACACTGTAAGATACTCCAAATGTTGCTCCTGCCTTGGCTATCAAACGCCAATTTAAAATCAAATATAATGTATAAAGTTGACTGTTCTATTCATAATCTTGCTCTACAAATTGTATCATAAACAAATTTCTAAAATATACAAAGATGATGCCATTGTTATTATGTTTAATTCCTTTTTATTGATATTATTATTATCTAATTAACATATGTGTATGTATCTTTATAATTAATAATTGGTCTACTAAATGTTGTACTGTTATCATAGTAAAAAAAAGTAAAGTTTCCCTTTCAAACCTGACGGTTTATGGGGCAAGTGAAGTAGAGTTTACTTGTTTCTGTGACCTCGGCATATGAAGAGATAGTGTGGTCAGCACTACGCCCAGCCGCCTTTTCTTTCCCTAACGTGAGTTAGGTACCCATCAGAGTTGGGTGGACGCAGGGACGGTCTACTGAGTTGAACCCGGATTCAAACTAGAGACTAACGGGTTAGCAGTCCAGCTCTACCGCTAGACCACTCCGTCCCATACTGTCATCATAACAATACTTTATTTTTTAATACATTTTTAAAAATAAAAAAATGTAATTAATATTGCCTTAATTCAATATATTTATTTTGCTGTATTAAAAAGCCTGGTGTACCTTGTTGACATTATTGTTATAAGCTGTTGACAGTCAAGTAATATTAATTGTAACAGTTAAGCTATTAGCACAGTGCTGTCCATGGTTTAATGTTCGTTTCTCGGGTGTATTTCAATAAGAAACAAATGAACACGGAAGTAAATTTAAATTTCAAAAAAAAATAATTTCGGAATATTTTATTGAATATAATCAATATGCGAAGCACCAAACTAATTAAAGCCTTACAGACAGACACAGAGACACTTTGATAAATAAAGACACTGAAATAGACACAAACACACATTAAAATTCATCCCCTATTTTACCCACTCTAAAAGAAGGTAAAAAAAAAAAAGATTAAACTTTGTGTGCATTAAAATCTTAGATAAAGGTTTATATGATTGCTCTATTACTTAAGCAATTATAATTTTATTTTTAACAGTGAGATAGTTCGCACCTACTTTTAAATTGATTTTACAACAAAGACTTGTGATTGACTTCATGCACTGTAACACTACACCTTGCAACTATGTCAAGAACGCGAACTAAACGTAGCGACGTTAAACGATAATCATTATTTACTCGACGGTTGAACCCAAGACTGGAAAATGGACTTTCGGGGTAACCGCTTCATAAAGCTCTTTATAAACTTCCCGGTTCTAGGCAGTTTACTTGGCAATCTCCAAAAAAAAAAATCCTCTTTTAAAGAAAATGGGTTTTCTGCTGAACGCCTCCACAGAGGCGTAGCGACCCTTCCCGGCGCCCGGGGACAAACATTCAATTTGGCGCCTTCAAATTTTCAAGTTGCACCCGCCCCCCCCCCCCTCAACTTTTTGATTTGCACTCCCCTCAACATTTCGATTTACACCCCCCCCCCCCGCCTCAAACTTTCGATTTGCACCCCCTCCAAACTGCAAAAATGCAGCTAAATTGACATTTTAATTTGTTTTTACAACCCATTTTGGCGCCCCATAAGGTCGGCTCCCGGGGACACATGTCCCCCCTGCCCACCCCATCGCTACGCCTCTGCGCCTCCACATTCTCATTTGCCTTCCCTGTTTATTTTATTTTTCTACAGGCGTACTGTTAACTATGACACTGTAAGATATTCCAGAGGTTGCTCCTGCCTAGGCTATCAAATGCCAATTTATAATCAAATATAACGCATAAAGTGGGTTGTTCTTTTGATAATGATGCTCCACAATTTGTACCATGAAAAAACAATTCTAGCATGTATATAGATAATGTCATTCTTATTATTCTTAATTCATTTTTAATTGAGATTATTATCATCTAATTAACATATGTGTATGTATCTTTATAATTAATATTTGGTCAACTAAATGTTATACTGTCATCATAATCAAACTTTATTTTAATGGGCTTATTATTAAAAAAAAAAATATAATTAATATTGCTTTCATTTAATAGTTATTGATTTTATTTTTGATGTTTCAAAAACCTGGTGTACCTTATTGATATTATTGTTATTAACTGTTGATGGTCAAGTAATATTAATTATACCAATTAAACTACTAGCTGTATGCTGTCCAGGGTTTCTCGAGTGCCTTTCAATAAGAAACAAATGAAGACAAAAGTAAATTTAAATTTCTCAAAAAAAAAATTGGAAAAAAAAATTAAAGACTTACAGACAGTTTCAGGGACACATTGATAAATAAATACACTGACATAGACACAAACACACATTAAAACTCATCCCCTATTTTACCCACTCTAAAAGAGGGTAAAAAAAGATTAAGCTTTGTGTGCATTAAAATCTTAGATAAAGGTTTTTGTGATTGCTTTATTATTATTTCAACGTAACTACGAGTATAATCGTTTCCTGTTCATGCCTAAGACCCATGGGGCAGACGAAGTAGAGTTCATCTGCTTCATAGACCTTTGCATATGATTGGATAATGTAGTTAGCACTATGCCAGGCAACTACGAATATATGTATTCATACTTTTCACTGCATTTACTTATATAAACAAACATAACCAACATTAAAGTGACAAAATATACTTGTATTATAATGAAAACTATTTTACTATTATTTTTATTTTTATTTTAAAAATTATTTCTCGATCATCGTCATATTTTCCCTTTTATGCCTTAGACAAAGAGATCGCTTCATAAACCTCTTTATAAACTTACCGGTTCTAGGCACTTTAGTTAGCAGTCCACCAAGATAATCCACATTTCCCTTGGCCTTCCCTGTTTCCTTTTCTTCCTGCAGTTCTACGGTCAACAACGACACTGTAAGATATTCCAAATGTTGCTCCTGCCTTAACTATCAAACGCCAATTTAAAATCAAATATCATGCATAAAGTTGACTGTTCTATTCATTATGTTGCTCTACCATTTGTACCGTGAAAAAATAATTTCCAACATGTATATAGATAATGCCATTATTATTCTTTTTTCATTTTTATATATATTATTATTATTATTATTGAATTAACATAATGTGTACGTATCTTTATAATTAATATTTGTTATAATAAATGTTATACAGTAATAATAATTAAACTTTATTTTAATGGGCTGATTATTATAAATAAAAATAAAAAAATATTTTTAATATTGCCTCAATGAGAATTTATTATTGATTTTATTTTTACTGTATCAGAAACCTAGTTTTCCTTGCAGAGGCGTAGCAACCACTCCCGGCGACCGTGGACAAACTTTCCATTGCCCCCCTCCCTCTGATTTTTATATGTATAATTCAAAACTGCAGCTAAAATGAGCTTTAATTTTTTTTCAAAATTATTTTGGCGCCTTTATGGTACCTTGTTGATATTATTGTTATTATCTGTTGTCATTCAAATTATAATAATTATAACATTTAAGCTACAAGCACAGTAATATCCAGGGTTTGATGTTCGTTTTACAGGTTGTTAGTATAAGAAACAAATTAACACGGAAGTAAATTTAAATTTCTAAAAAAAATTCTGAATATCGTATTGAAAATAATAAATGTGCGCATCACCAAAGTAATTAAAGCCTTACAGACGGACACAGAGACACATTGATAGGTAAAACACACTGAAATAGACACAAACACACATAAAAATCCATCCCCTATTTTACCCTCTCTATGAGAAGGTAAACAAAAATTAAACTTTGTGTGCTTAAAATCTCGGATAAAAGTTTTTATCATATGCACTGTTACTTTAGCAATTATAAATATTATTTTTAACAGGAAAACAATTCGCTCCTACTTTTAAATTTATTCTACAACAAAGACTTGGGATAGACTTTATACACTGTAACACAACACCTTGCAACTATGACAAAGCGCGAATTAAACATAGCGACGTTAGACGATAATCGTTGTTTGCCCGACGGCTGACTCCGAGACTGGAAACGGACTTTCAGGGTAACCACCTCTAATGTATAACAGTATGAATGTTTAGGAAGAGATAAACCAATCCATAAACAAACAAAATACAACAAAGTGTAGATAACACCCCCACACTACCTAGCTTCACACCTTAGCGCACACCACCTCACACAGCACATCGTGAACGACTCCCGGCCGTAAACCCCATAAAGTCTACACGTCTAACCATGCTGCAAATGCCACTAAAAAAAACTGAACCACAAAAGCACACGCCCCACGTCGCAGAAAAAAAAAAAGTAATAAACGACACATTAAAATCTACAGCAAAACCCACACCTCACACAGCACAACTCACACGACACACACACTATTCACACGTACAACACTCAATCACTTATCCCACACGCTTCCCAACACACCATAGTCTGCTCACAACACACGGAATAGACAAAACCCCAACCCACCCGCCCCAAACCCCAAAATACACCGCTCTACACCCAACCTTCACAACACATAAAAAGCACTCTGCGC